TGCTGATGCTGCAAGCAGCAAATGTTGAGGGGCAGCCGGTTGCAACTCCAGATCACAGTGAAACCGACGAAACAGATCCTCGTAATGATAGCGGTAGTGCAGCTGCTGAGCAGCAAACGGAGAATGTTGCCGAGAACCCGGAGGCGACTCTGGATCGCAATGAAACCGGCGGAACGGATCCTAATAATGCTAGCAGCGCCAGTATTGAGCAGCAAGCGGAAAATGATGTTGAAAATCGAAAGGCAACCCCGATCCAAAATGAAGCCGATGAATCGGGGAATAACAGCGACGGATCGGCTTCTCAGATGGGTTAGTTGACACTCTGCTAGCTTTAGAATCGACGTCGTAAAGAGAAAGTCAGGATTCACATCACCACTGCTAGCCGTATTGCCCCTCCTCTAGAAGCCAAGAACCCCGGTGTATCTAAATTTAAAATTTGAACTTGTTTTCTTTTTTTGAATTTATCGATATCGTTTATCACTGCTAGTTCTTCTCATAGCTGCTTTGTATTGGTGACAGTTGTGGAAGTCCGTCTGTGTAAAAAGGAAGTGTGAACAACTGTGTTAATTGACGTTAAATTAAGACGAAACAGTACCTGCTGATGCAATCCAAAATTACCAAGAGGATTGCAGAGTGGGCGCGAAATCTAACCAGAAATGTTTCAGAATTTGCTTGAAATTTTTTTCGCGCTGAAACAGTATAAAATGCTTTCAAGGAAATATGGCGCTAAAATAGCAACAGACGTCTTTGGGGTGGAAAAGACACAGTTTGGTTGTGAAGATAGGGGGCGTTCGTTTCGGAGAAGGGACGCCAAAATTGGCCGCATGCTGGATACGCTTTTGATGTGCATATATGCCGGCAACCATTTCTTGTTAAACATATATTATGTATGTATGTGCGTACATAATGTATGTATGTCCGTGCGTATGCATTTGTGTATGTATATATGTATGTCTGTGAAATTTTTATAACTCTCTTATTTACGGTTTTGTTGTCCAACTTCTTTTTAATGTTGGAGTACAGTTAAAAAAAAAAATTTATGAAAATGAACCTGCATCGGATTTGCTGACTGCCCATGGCTTGTTCTTAATCGCCTAACAGATATCTTCTTTCCAAACTTGGTTGAAACTAAAATGCCTAAATCTAGAATTCGAACTAAATCTATTGAACTAAATCTAGAATCTGCCGCCGAATCAGGCATGGAAAACTTTATTGTTATCGCGGACGAAGAATCGTACAATCATGGAGCTCCGGTGTCACGTTCGACTTCGCAGCCGTCCCGCGTCCGTACCCAGGTTCTTTTTCTTGCTGTTTTTAGCGCTTTTCCCTGTCACTTTTCATTTTTACTGTGATTGTTTGTAAAAAAGCCTAAGCAAACTGACATGCAGCCTAAGAATGACTCTTGCAGCCTGGAGTATTCGTGCAACTTGCGGAAAGTCCAGATTTTTTTTTGTTTGTGGTTTTGAATTTTAACATTAGCGAGAACTTTTTTTGCGCATTCTAAGAAAAATTTTTGTTTTATTTTCCTTAAAAGGTTACTATGGTGAAACTTTTTGTCACCCGCGCCCCTTTCACGTTTTACTCTGTTTTTATATTTGCCGTTGTTACCACATTTTAATGATGTGTTCACTGAAAGTCTGATTTTTCATGGCGTAGGCGTTCATTTCTTTTTGCGTTATTTTGACTACGGGCAGTCGCTTCCAAGCATGTTGCGGAGCAGGATGAGGCACTGGGATATTTAGGGCCCATTAATGCTGTGATGTAGCACTTGCGCACGTGGTCGGGATGCTGGATGGTTTTTGATGTGCTGTTTTCGATCAGTTGCTTCAGTGCGTTTCATTTCAGAGTCGACTCGAGATTCATATGACTTCAGAACAGTCGGAGGAGCATGAAAAAGGATTTGTCGAACTTGGTCCTCCAGCATCGCCGTCACCGGAGCCACGGTCAGTTAGCTTCCATCACTCACTGCTTTCGATTTGAATCGAGAAGTGCATGGAAGAGTGCATAACTTTGGCAAAAAAAAA